TGGTGGTCTGTTTGGTGGTGGTCTGGGCGAGGTCGACGGATGGAGCTGGTGGCGGACGACGAGCTGGTGGGTTGTTGCTGCTGGTCGTGGTGCTGGGGAACAGTGACGACGAGGGGGGTGGTGGGGAAGGTGACGGAGTGGTGTTGGTGAAGCTGGATGGGTAACAATGGCGGTTTGTTGACGGTGGTGATGGAGGAGGCGGAAAGAGCTGGTTGTTTGGAGTGGTTTTGGCATGACGACGGGGGATGGTTTTTGGTTGTTGACGGAGGTGGTGAGACGGAGACGGAAAGAGCTGGTTGTTTGGGGTGGTTTTGGCGTTGGTGAAGGAACGGAGGGAAGGTTGGTTTGTTGATGGTGTTCGTGAAGCTGGTGGAGGGGGAGTTGGTTTTTACAGTAGGTTTTTGCCTTTGTTTCTAGGTTTTCCAAAGGAGGAAGGAGATGAACAGTTCTCCTCCTCCCAAAATTTTAAAATCCGTCCCTTTGCCCAGTCCAAGTCTCGTGCATTTGTAGCTTTGGCCAAGAAAAGTGGACCCCACGTGTGTAGGGGTCCAATGTTTGTGTCCCCCATGCGTGGTGGGGTTCCCCATGTGTCCTGGACTCGATTTATTATGGGCTAGGTCCGAAATTAGGCCTAAAACCGGGTAGTTTGAACCCGAATATTATTCTTTTGCCCGGACCCGAGAAATAGGAAACGTTGTTTAACTAGCCCTATGTAAGCAAAACAACTACCAAAAATAAGACTAATATTTAAACAACACTATATCTTTTTAAATATATATTTTTCAAGATTTAAAATAGCCACAAAATATTACTAAAACTATTTTTGTAATTTTCGTTTTTATATGTAAAGATAAAATATGAAGTAATATTTTTTGTATTTTTTTCAAAATTATAATGACTGCAAACATTAATAGAACTATATTTTTGTGATTTTCGAATTTATATAAAGTACCAAAATAAAGTACAATTTTTGTATTTTTTCAAGTTTATGAGAAATACATAAACTAAAATTTATATATGTATTTTTGTGATTTTTTCTTTTTGCAACGAAATAAAGTAAAATAGTTAAAATGGCTATATTAGACCCAATTTCACATATTCACGCTAAAAATGTGAAAATCCTCGGGGAGCGTCAAAAATCACGTGCTTACAAGGCCCTCTGGCTACATCATATCACTCACACTGGGTACCCGCGCTCACAAGGGGTGTACATACTCGCGCCCAATATAGGCCCACGTCACCCTATCTCATATAGGCCCAATAACACAATGTAACTAAAATTTCGCAATCCAACCTAGCCCATAAACCTTAGAACCCCATTTTCACTTCTAAAATCATCTACAAGATCAGGATCTCACATCTATATTCTGAATAAGCCCGAGCCAGCTGTAATAAACCATACCTGCAACCTCAGATAGAATTACATGATATATCACATAACTCAAACACTTATAGCGATCACTTCTAATCATAACAGTTGCTCAAAATATCTGAATTTCGATAATAAGCCTTTTATCAAATAAAGCCTCATTCCAACACTTTCGTATACTGCTTATGATAAATGAAACACATAGAAAGTCATAACCACTCCTCAGATCAACCATTCGTGAAGTCATTTCTCTTTTGGCAAGGACCATGGCAATTTCTAAGCCGAACATCGATATTATCCTTCCAACATGTTGAAATCGAATCCGTTTGTATTCATTATATATCCCAATGACCTCATCTAATCCAACACAACTACTCTGGTGACATGACACATCAATACAAACTAAAGCCACAACTCGTGCAATCCGCGCACCAATAAGCAATAATCCGAACATACTCAAATCATAAAAATGATTCAAATGAAAGAGCTGTACTGCAAGCTCACCAGTACCACCACAACACAATGCTGGGAACCCGTCACACATCATAGAAACAGAACACACGAATCTAACTAGAAGGGTCATACCTCCACGTAACTTCGCTGCAATACGCGACCCTATCCAAACACACTGGTCCACATGAAATACCTCAAGTCACTATGCTCAAAATCAACAACCACGCGCAATTTGATGTCTAGAACCAAAGAAAATTATCATAACCACGGCGAAGCAATTGACATAACATTATATAAACCCGAAATGACACAACTAATACGCCATCCCCGAGCGATACCCAATACTCTTCCCACTCGAATTCCACTAAGAGACCCCAATAAAAACCACAC